TTCCAGTTCCCAAAATCCCATCACTCAGGTTGGAAATTCTGCTGTTTCCAGTTCCCAAAATCCCATCACTCAGGTTAGAAATGCTGCTGTTTCCATTTCCCAATAACCCAGGTTGGAAATTCTGCTGTTTCCTTTCCCCTCCCAGCAGCTCTGACAGCACAGGGGGAATCCAGGCAAACTCCAGCAGAGAAAGCACAATGAACTGCCAGGGAAATGCAGGGAATGCTGAGARCCACAGCCTGCAGGGATTCAGGAAGAAAGGGTTTAAATTTCCAGCGGCTGGGGATTTCCCAACAGCAAAGCTTGGCTTTTTTCTCTCTCTGTTCATTCAAAGATCACTCCAGTGAAAGGATCACAGCYCTCTTCTGGCACAGCCAACTGCAGCACAAACACCTTCCTTTCACTGGCAAGTGCAAAATGTCTGCTTTTTTCTCTTTAAACCATTTCTAATTAAAAAAATCCCCATCAATCACCACAATATTTCATTACGGGGGATGGAAGAGCAGRTTTAAAACCTGGCTTTTCCCCAGGCATCAGGATGAACAGCTCYGAGCACCCCACAGCTCCAAACGTAAAGGAAAAAGGATTTTAAAGTTCCTGTCTTAAGGATGAATAAAAAAATTGATGAAAAATTAATTGATAAAAAAAATTAACTGTCAGATAATTGATGAGTAACTGTCAGATATTTATTTTACCTGCATCTGAAACATTGTGAGTTCAACCTCAAATTGTCTGAGACTCCAGGAGCAGGGCTGTGCAAGCAATTCTGTGCAATTTTAGTGCAGGCTGCTCCCTCTAAACTTTAATTCAAAAATAAATTCCAAGTGAACCATTTGACACCAGTGGAGGTTGACACCACAACAAACCTCCACACTCCTGGTGGGGAAATCACTCCCCAAACCCCAAAGAACCTCCCATTGCTCTGCTTCTCCATCTCCACCCTGCCTGGAKCTCAGCAGGATTTAAATCCTTGCAGARCCTTTCTCAGTGCCCATCCCATCCTGAGAGGGGGATTTGCTGCTCCAAATTACAGAGTTCTGTGAGATGGACCTGCAAAAGTCTGTCAGAGCCACATCCAGCACCTCTCTGCACTTTAAGCACTTAAACCTCTTARCCAGAATTAAAGAGTCAGGTTTAAAGATAATGTGAAAGCAAGTCCACCAGAAATGTAACAGGAAGACTCTAAGAACACAGGGCAACTAAAAATATGGAGAGGAGCTCCTTTTTTCTTCTTGAAGCTAGACAGATAAATCTTTTAACAAGATTTGTTTGGTCATGTGTTAGCAGTCTTAACAAACACAACAGGSCCATTCTTCTGTAAGCTTTTAGTCTCATATTGCCAGATAAAAAGGCACTGTTTTCAGCAAATGCCAGATTACAGGAACTATGTGCTGCCACTGCTGCAGYTCCTGCCACRGAGCTTTTCTAATTTGGATGTCAAGGAAGAGTTTTAACTCAGTTTAAGTGCAAGGGATTAAAATTTAGGGGGAAAAAAATAAATAAGACAACAGCCCATACAGGTTCCCCCATATACTGATAAGGTTTTAAGGAAAGCTTTAACTGACTTTAACCTGAAGTCATTTGAAGCCACAAAAACATCTGCATTAGGAGGTTGGTTAACAATATTCAAAACAGAAAGGAAAAAAAAAAGTTGAACAAAAACTTCAAAATGAGCACAGCAGTTTATTTTGAACAGATAGACTCTGAGAAGCAAAAAGGGTAAACCCTGAAAGCATGCAGATGGATTTCTTGACAGGCAAGTCTGTGGCTAAAAAAGAGAAGTCTGCAGTATTTTACTAAAAAAGGTAAAATAGAAACATTCTGAAGTGCTGTAAATTCAGATCTGGGAAACACCAACAAAGAAATCAAAGCACACAGAAATTCCTGGCACACAATAACAGCCAAGCYAAGGGTAACAGGGAAGAACCCCTGCACCAACAGAGCATCCTTCTGACAACAGCCCTGGTTTTTTGGGATKYCTGMCTGTCAYAGTCCCCAGYACAGCACATCCCTGGCCACTTATTRTRACACCAAAATGAATTTTGCACAGTTCTGAACACCAATATTTGTGTGTTTATAGAACAAACCCACTGCTGCTTTGCAGKSWARYWYAWYTYA